CTGCCCCTGGAGCATCCCAGCACTGCCCCTGGAGCATCCCAGCACTGCCCCTGGAGCATCCCAGCACTGGGAATGCACCAGATCCCCTTCTGCAAGACCCCCAGGGAAGAGCTCTCCGTGCCTGGCCAGCAACTCAGAGGGTAGAAACCACACACCAGAGCTACCCCTCTGCAAGTCTGATCCCTCCTGGCTGCATCCCAAAACAGGAGAACAAGAAAGAAGGCAGGACAGCAGAATTCCCGTTGCCTGCCCTGCTCTGAGCAGGTGAGCACAGTCCTGCAGTCAAACTGCACCCTCAGGCAGCCCTGAGCCACAGGCAGGGACTGTTGGACTCCATTCCCAGCTCTGCAAACTCCATCTGGGATGTGCCAGTCCCAGCAGCTCCCCCTGCCACGCAGTGACAGCCACACTGCACATCAAGCTCTGCCCTCACAACACCCACACACCTGCTGTGCCTGCAGGAGCCTGGAAATCCATCTGGGAGCAGAGCCCACCCCCCTGTGCAGCAGCCCTGGCTGCAGGAGGGAAGGGAGCTGTGCTGGGCTGTCCCTGCAGCTGAGAAGGGACCATCTGACACTGTCACAGACCCGGTGACACACTCGGTGCTCCCGAGGTGACTCACGGGGAGGGTGCAGAGAGCAGCCAGTCACCCACCCCACCAGCAGCTCCAGAAATGAGCAGCTTCCAAAGGCCATTGGCAAATGGGAAACAGGGGCAAACATCTGCTTCCATGGGCATGTTCCAGTGTGGATGTCAAGGCAAAGGTACCAGCTCCAGAGGGACAAATGGTCACGTCTGTCCCACAAGCAGAAGGGAAAGCAGGGAAACCTCACAGTGTCTTCTGGAAAACCACATCCCTCTCTAGCCAGCTCTTATTTTCACTCTTCATGGCACTCAGGGCCACTGCTGCTCCCTTCATCATCTACCTGGAGGCTCCACCCTCTGCAGGCTTTGCCAGGGAATTCCTGGCTGTTGGCAAAACTGACCTTTAGGCTGAATATTTCCAAGACAAGCCAATGTATTAGGAGCAAACCAGGCAGATGGAGGTGACTTAGAACTCTGCCCAAGTAGCTGAACACCCTCTTGCACAGGCCAGAAAAGTGTTCATTAAAAGAGAAAGAAAGGGAAAGAAAAAAGAAAAAAAGGAAAGGTAGGTTAGATAACGCCCCTGACGGAAATCCAACTTCCTCCAAATGGACAAGTCCCTCGTTGCATCATTTCCTTCTCCCTAGAATAACCTCATCAGGAGTGTGTTTCAAGGGTGTCCTTTCCAAGCTGCTGAGCTGGGGCCAAGCATCCCGGCAGGAGAAGGAAGCAAACCTGCTGGGAATGTGAACCAGCTCCCCTGGAATCTGGGATGGCACCGGTCCGTGGGAAGAGGCCAGGATGCACCACTGTCCAAACCTTGATGAAGAAGCTCCCCTTCCCCTCCCCACCCTGCCAGATTGTGAAAGAGCAGCAGCATCCCCTGCTCGGCACAGAGGGGGAACAGCAGCCCCTGGGTGTCGTAACCCAGCGCTGACTCCAGCGGGTCTCAGAGCCCAAACCCTCCTCAGGCCCTCAGATGTTCCCTCCCCTCCCTGTCTGCAGTGAGGACAATGGGAGAGCAGAGTGGGATGTGCTCCTAAAAGGGTTAAAATCCCTGGAAATCCAGCCTTGTGGGGGGCAGGGAAGTTGACCATCAGATGATGGACTGTGGAGCAGCTCCTGCCCAGAGATCTGCCAGCGCCTCAGGTCCCCTCTGGAAGGGCCAGGCTGGCTCCTGATGCTTCTGCTCAGCCCTCTGATGACCAGGAATAAACCCCTGCACTGCTGAGTGGGAAAGGGATCCCATCTGCCTGGAAAAGCTACCTGTGGCCAGCCCAAAAAAGGACTTTTGATCCTCAAAATGAAGCCATTTTCATCCACCTCAAGTCCAAATTGCTCCTGGAGCACAGAGATCCAAGAGATCCCTGCCAGCCATCCATCTGTGCCTCCTGAGAGCAACCCAGGATCCTGGGAGGGGGGAAAACACAGGGAAGGAGAACCCCAGGACTGAGACCTGAAGGATCAGCACTGAAAAACGGGCATCAGACAGCGCTTTCCTCCTCCAGCTCCACCCCAGGAGGAGGGAGAAGGGAAGATGAACATTGTGGCACTGCCTGGCCACAGCTTCCTGCTGACAAACCTCAGGGGGAAGAAATAAGAAAGACTCTGAGCAAGGAGGAATTCACATTGGAGTCTGAGAGCAAAGCAAAGTCTCCAGGGATGCTGCACGTGCTCTGCCCACTCCCCACCTGCACCCCTCCACCCTCCTTTGGGAGGAGCCAGCTGCAAACAGGGCTCAAAACTCATCTGGAAACAGCAAATCCTGCCCATGAATTCACCAAATAAATCAGAATGAAAGATGACTGGGACCCCCAGGATGCATGCACGAGGTGTCCACCCAGAACACAGCCCTGCAGCCCGAGGTGTGGGCTGCAGGAGTCACCAGGGCTGCCTGTGACTCCCTCCTGGTCTCAGGGACAGGACTGAGCATCCAGGGGAGCCACCAGCACCGCTGTTTCCTCTGTGCATTCCCACCCCTCCCCACGATTAATCACCCACCCGTGAGTGCCAGTTGAGGCAATCACCACCCACAAATAACTGCAGGGTCATGGAGGTGAGGGGATTTTCCCTGGCCCTTTCGCTGCCACCTGGAAAAACCACGTTCATGCCAGAGCTCCCCAGTTACCAGAACTGCCCTCGGTTCACACCTGAAAGTTTTGTGGGTTCACTCCCCACCTTGGGGACAAGTCACACTCAAATCACCCCACCCAGCCCCCCCAAAAAACAGAGATACGTAGTAAGGTGATGAGTAACCCTGGGACATTCTCGAGGGCAAACAGTCCCAGGGCTGGTTCTTGCCCCAGGTGACTGTTTCATCCCCTGGGGCCCTGAGCCCCCAGCAGGGAAGGTCCCAACAAAAGGGGCTCTCCAGTTTCCTCCTGCACCGGTGAAGTTGAACTCAGAGGTTTGGATCCCTGATCTTTTATCAGACACCAAAACTCTTTGCCTTTCAAAGCCTCAGAACTGAACTTCTGCCTGAGTGTGCAGGGTGACAGCCCGGGGCTGGAAACGAGCACTTGCAGGCACAAGGAACTTCCTCTACGACCTGGAGGGGACAATTCTGCTCCCTGCAACAGGGAAGGTGGGAAGGTCTCCACCAACAGGCACTACACCCTGCAGGGCAAGGGGGAGAGAAGGCTGGAATGCAGAGGGAGGTGAGGGAAGGGACACAGGCAGGAGTGATGGCAGGCAGCAGGATGCAGCAGAGCTGGGGAGGAGGTAGAGGGTGGTTACCAGGAGCTGCTGAGGTGTGATGGAGTTGTCTGTGTAAATGCAGAGTTTCTCCACGGTCAGGGGCATGGTTTCTCTCAGTTTGGAGGCCAGCAGCATGCACACAGCCCCCAGGAGCTGCAGGTGGTTCTTCTGCACGGGCACCGACGACAGGAACCGATCCACGTAATTCATGGCCAGGGGGAAAACCTCTTCCTCACACTTCTGCTCCTCACACACCTGGCAAAACCCAGCGGCAGAGACACAGAGTAAAGGCAGGGCTCCCCAGCCCCTGCCTGCACAGCAGCTTCAAAGCCTCTGGTGTTTCACACTTGTCAGGGCTCTGGAGGCTCCGGGGTGAAAGAGCTCCCGGTGTGAACCCTGATGACACCCCTGGGGTTGCACCAGCAAGGAGCTTCCCCAGGGCCTCAAGGCTTCATCTTCCTGGGGAAAGCAGCAGAATTTAGGTGCAGCTAGAAGGAGAGGCACAAATGAGACAGAACTGAATTGATTTGGCCCTGTTTCTGATCTCCCCTGCTGGAGATGCCTCCAGCCAGCTGGACAGCAAAGCTGCCACCTCCTGCCCTGTGGGGACTGCGGATCTCTGGAGAAAGTGAGCAGTTCCAGCATATCTCCAGCTGGAGACTTAACAGAGCGGGATCCGCTGCTGGCAATTCCACCTCGAGTGCTCCAGAGACACAAGAAGAGTCAGTGGCAGCACCCGAATCAATGCTGGGTCCAAAAGTCCTCCTCCCTCAGCCACAGAATCCAGCAGCTCCAAATTTCAGCCCTCTGCCCTTATCTCCCAACAGTATCAAAACACTTGTCATATTTAACTTCCTTCTTTCAACACGACCATAAAAATATTGCGGTTTCTCCCCGTTCTGCAGCAAACACCATCCTCCTCCCAGCCCCATCTGCCCCAGCGCCAGCGACACCGACACGGGTGTGACAACTGCCACTTGTCACCCACTTGTCACCCCTTCAGGGCTTCACACGGACAGGTCCCGAAGCACCCGAGGCACCAGTTATTTAATACCCTTCTCGGAAAGGGAATTGCATAGAGAGTAACAGGGAAGGGGTGGGGGGGGGGAAGCCCTTTAAAAAGCAAATGTTCATTATTTCTTTTTGAAGGAGCTTCCCTGCAGCAGCCGCCGGGCTGGAGGACGGGGAAGCTCCATCCCGACCTCATCGGTCCTCTGCAAATCGCTCTTTACCGAGACTCTTCACTGCGACCACCTCATGCAGAGCCCCGAGGGATCCCCCCCCTTGCCCCAAACTCCATCCTGCAGCGAGCCACGCTCCGTTTTAATTTGGGGAAGTAAATAGTAGCGTTATTATTTCCCCCTCTAACTGGGCACTCGCAGCCCCGAGCCCAGCCCTGCCCGGAGCTTCTGGGGGTCTCTCCCCACAGGGGTGGGATGAGCTGTGGCTCAGGGGGGGAGGTGTGCCCCGCTCCTCCCGCACGGGCCGAACATGCTTCAGCCCAGCCGGAGCTCACGGAGCGAAGAGCCCGCAAAGGACCCTCCACGTGCAGCCCCCACCGGCATCACCCCCTCCCCTGAGCGCACACCTCCGGGCTGGCGCGTCCCCTGCCCTGTCCCCTGCACCCCTGACACCCCCAGCACACGCGGGCGAGGGGGGGGGTCCTGCCCTGCGCTCCCCCCGCCGGGGCGGGAGCAGCGCCCGTGTCCGCGCAGGGGCACGGACCGTACCTCCAGCATCCAGACGGCCAACATCCTCCGCATGTAGGGCTGGATGTCCCGCTGCACGCACTGGAAGTAGGACACGCGGGGGCTGTAGCGCTCCTCCAGGCTCAGCAGGTTCCGCAGCACCCGCCGGTCCCCCAGGAGCTGCGGGTCGGGCCCCGCGCGGGGCACGCGGGACGCCGACTCCACGCACAGCAGCTCCATGGGCGGCGGGGAGGCCGGGGCGGGCGGACACGGGGACGGAGGGGCAGGAAGAAGGACAGACAAGGGAACGCAGGGGCAGGCGAAGGGAAGGAAGGACGGACGGACCGTCAGGGGGCTGGAGGGACAGGCAAGGGAACGGAGGGACGGACACGGGGACGGACGCAGAGGGGGCTGGCGGGGCAGGGGCAGGCGGGCTGGGGCTGTGGGTGCGGGACAGCCGGCCGGACAGACAGAAGGACGGAGGGACGGACGGAGCGGCCGCGGCCGCGGGTCCCGAACTGGCCGCGCTCCCGGCACGGCCCCGCCGAGCCCCGGGCTCCGCGCGCG